TGACTTTTGGATAATTGTTCTCTCTGTCCTCGTCATATCCATTGCAACTAGGCATTTATTTATTCCTAACTAATCTGATTTTTCAGACTTCCCACGTCATTTCCAAATCACGTAGGCATTTATCTCTGACTAATCTTATTTTTCAGATAATTGTCATCTATCTCCACGTCATTTCCAACGCAAGATCTGATTTTACAGATAATTAATGTCTGTTTCCAAGTCATTTCCAACGTAATTGTGTCCAAAATAATTGAATTATGGCAATACTTCAAAGAATGATAGCACCCTGATTGACTTTATTTTGTTTGGTCTAAATATTTAAATATTGTAGAAGATTAAAAGACATTAAGGGGAAAAATACGTAAATATAATACTTTGAAGGACAATGCTACATTTACATACACATTTTTACCAAATCTTTTATCTACACTCACAATAGGAGGACGGGTCCCATAAGCCGGAATTTTTAAATGTACGTGGGTCCCGCGCGCATGTGAGTGTAGGGCACCAATTCGGTAACCCATTTTCGGTACATATATATTTATCCTACTTTAAGTATACATTTTCACACTTAACAAACTCATAGAATTTTTTTATAAATGAGGTGCTAAATAATAATATTATATACAGTATTCTAACTGAAATTTAGATAAACTATAGTTTAAATTAGAATAATTTGATAAACATTATCACATCGTAATATGTAGCGTATATTCCTCCGTCCTATTTATGTAGGCTAACTTCCTTTATTTTCTTGTCCCAGTAATATAGTCTTTTTTTTTTTAATGAAAATGTTTTTTCTTTTTCAATAATATTAAATAAAATTATTTAATCCATGCGAAAAAATAAAACCAATCTATATAAATAGAACAGATGAAGTATATCGTTAATATAACAGATCCTCTCACCTCGCATTCTCTCTCTCCTCGCATTTTCTCCTTCTTACAACGAATAACTCGTGACTCACCAAAAAAATCTTTTACGCATAACACTTTTTCATTCTCTATGTTATTTCACGCTTTTTTGAATAAATGTTATTTGTACATAATGGAGTTAAATAATGATTTACATATAGATAATGTGTAAATAAGAGAGTGGAGAATTTTTTTTTCGATTATGTTATATGTACATAATAATTTATATAAACATGATACAAGAAACGATTGGATCAGATATTATTTAACACCACACATGAAAATATAAGTTTAAGATCTGATTTTTGAAAGGTATAGATAAAATGTAGGGATTTGCTTAATTTTCCAGAAAAATATTCGTACAAGTCAAGTCAAGTTATTATAATTCAAAATAATATATTTAAAAAATATTAAATTTAAGTTTTAAGATAATTAGCATAAGATAATAATTGTTATATTACAAACGATTAGGTTTATCTACATTATGTGATTAATCATATCTTAATTGTACTATGTTGGTTAACCAATTCTGTTTTCTTGGCCTTCCACCCCCTTTTCTTTTCGTTCCTTGGATGTAGTTCCAGTTTATACTCTTTTTGCTCATTCATGAGTCGTATTTAATACCTCTAAAAATTAAGTCTAATGGTGTTGTGCTAGGCAAAGCTAAAAGATCCACGAATCGTTAACTTCTTTTCCTAGAAAAGAAGCGACGACAATGAATGGAAAATAAGCATCGGCTATTGGACTATTCATAGCACAGTCCATACAGCAATTCATGACTCGTGGCAACTGATGAGGTTTATGTGGAGGAACAGGCATTGGCATACATGGAACGGTTGGATAGTCGGCTTTCAAAGAAATTGATGTAACTTTTGCGTTTGGTGTCCGTTTTGGCCCCATAACCTCATTTCGGAAAGGTAGCGAGCGTTTCGGATTGAACTCACAATTTCGCCGTGACGTACGAGGGTTTTTGGGCATTTGAAGTCGTTTAGTGTGTCAAAACAGCATTTTAAGTTTTTGTGTTATTTATTTTCAGCATTTGTTATTTCCATTTTATAGCTCAGCCCATTTTGGGACTGCTGGCCCAGTAGGTTATCTTTTCTTTCATATTTAAGACGCTGCAAGACGTCTCCTAGGTTTTTCTTGGTTGTTCACGAAATAATAAAAGTTTGTTTCTGAATTCAATCCGTTTGGTTATTGTTGTCGTGTGTTTGTAGATTCAATCTACATCATTTTGGTATTAGAGCATGGTGCGTGGGAGAGGACGTGGTGGTCGTGGTGGCCAGATTGATGAAGTTGCAGATCTGCGTAATCAAGTTGAGGCGTTGACAATCCGATTTGATCAATTCATGACGTGGGCGGTAGAGGTTGTGCAGAACGGAACACCTCCTGCTCCTCCACGTCGTGCCCTAGTGAGTGATGGTGGAGGTGGATCTGAATCAGGGGAGAGGTCGGATGAGGAGATCTTGTCAGAGGCACGTGGCGATCGTGTTCAACAGCCTCGTGTGCAACAGCAGGACGAGTTTCTGCGATGGGAATCCGGATTCAAGGTTGATATACCTGAATTTCACGGTGGAATTGAGGCCAATGAATTCCTCGATTGGCTGGCGGCAGTAGAGGAGATCTTGGATTACAAAGAAGTGCCCGACAATAAAAGGGTACCTTTGGTGGCGACCCGTCTGCGTGGTCGTGCTGCTGCGTGGTGGCAGCAACTGAAGCAAAACCGGATACGTCAGGGTAAGGCGAAAATCCAGTCGTCGAAAAAAATGAAGAAACAATTGAAGGCAGTGTTTCTTCCCTTTAATTATTCCAGGACTTTGTATCAGCGTTTACAGAATTTGAGACAAGGCAATCGATCTTTAGATGCTTATTCCACAGAGTTTTACCAACTGATAGCGCGAAATGATTTGGGAGAATCAGAAGACCAGTTGGTAGCGCGCTATATTGGTGGACTACAATTGAATTTGCAAGACGTCCTAAATATGTTCTCGCCGGTATCTGTTTCTGAGGCTCACCAGCGAGCACTTCAGGCTGAAAATCAACAACAACGTCGTTCTGTAATAG